CAGAAAGAAGATCAAACCGCAGGGCCAGCATCCGTATATCGAGCAATGGACACCATCGACGAGTTCCTGAAGGTGATGGAGGACAGCAGCTAGTACGTCCAGGCCATGATTTCAGAGACGATCAAGATGTGCAAGGTCAGCGAAAGCAACAAGGCGCGCGACAACAATAACCGGTATCCCAACGAGGGCGTGCAGGAATTGCGGGAGTAGGGCTCAGGCGATATCCAAATCGGCATCAGCGAGCCCCCCAACTTCAGAGCGGTGCTCCCGAAGGACATGGAGGAGGACGACATGGCGAAGCTGGACCTGTTCGCGGGCCACGACTTGAGGATTGCGATGGGGATGCTGATCGTCTACGTGGGAGGCAAGAAATCCCAGTCGGCGGCGCCCAAGCCGGGGCTGGATAGGATGTCGGAGCAAGAACTGCAGCGCGGGCGCCGCTGAGGACGGAGGGGGCGTCGGCACTAACGATGTTTTCTCGAAGCGCAGCACCGCGGAGGTCAGAGGGGGTAGTTACAACAGTGAGGTTACCTCGGAGTGCAAAGACACCGCGGCGGAGTGCCAGGCCGCGGCTGGCGCGGACAAGCACTTGCACTGCACCTTCGACGGCGTCGACATCGTGGAGGGCGCCGCCCCAGGGGGCCCACTTCAGGGCAGTCGGGCATAGCTGGCGCGCCCGACAACGCACAGACGAAGACACCTTTCAGCTGATGAAGGAATAGCAGAATCAATCAGCATGGGCGTTGAGCGCCTCTCCAAACACAGACGTTTTGCCCCGCATGGTAGACTATGCGAAATGGCCTTGGAGTTCCGAGCCGAAGGGGAAGCGGAGTTGCAAAGAAACGCCTTGGGGAAAGGCCTCCCTGGCAACAACCCGCCCACCCGCCGCAGTCAGTAAACGACGTCATCTACCATGGCGACGCGGTGCGATTCTTCCCTGTGTCCATTCCAATTGCGGAGAGATGGTCGGCGGGGTATTATGCACATTGTACAGCACACGCACAATGCAAAGACGGGTCACGGTCTGCGGTGTGGGGGGGGGGGGGGATGGGGCCGGCATGCAAGGTATTCCGCGAGTAATAGAGGAAATTTCAATAAATTGGAATACGCTACGATCTCCATTGATTATACTCGGTGGCCGCAGCTGGTCTGCCTCAGCGTTTGCCTAGGTTCGCAGTGTTGAACACTTGCGGGGCTTCTCGGAGTGCGTCGACCGGGGTGGCCGCCCATGGCCTTCGCGGGCAGCTGCCAGCTATGGCCCTGCGTGCGTTGGATCATGGAGGCAACGGCGGCGAATGGAAAAGAGTGTGCGTCGAATGTGATCCGGGGCTGAGGCAGGAGGAGCGGGGCGGTTGGAGCGACGAAGCACAGTCGCTGCATGGGGGAGAGAAGTACATTTCGAGAGAGCAGGTCTGCCGAGAACAGGAGAGAATAGCAAAGAGAGCCGCGTGGGCAGCCCAGGTCTCAGGACATATCAAAGCACCACAAGTGCTACTGGCGGAAGAAGAAAGCCCAAATTACAAGTCTCGCGCAGTAAGAAGCACGACGGCCATATATAAGTAAAGAGGAGATGGCAAAGGCGCTGCTGGAGGGCATCAAAACGAATGCAGGTATACGCGCAGCCTTTAGCATCGCGTGGGGACGCATGACTGGGGCTCTGCGCCGCGCAGAAGAATACGACACCCTGCTCAACAAGTACATGGCCACGGACATGACGAAGATGCGCTGAAGGCGCCAAAAACAAGAGTTGGAGGAAAAGAGAAAGATCAGCGCGAGAGGGGCGACTACAAGACGGCGAAGAACATGGGGGAAGCGCAGCCGGCGCACCTCGAGGCGCTAGACTCCGCGGACTTGTGGAGCGACAGCATGCAGCTGTTCAACGCGCGCAGGAGGGGCGCAGGAGGGGGCGAAGAGAGGGGGGGGCCTGCTCGCGCGAGCTTGCCTTCCCAAACTAGCCGTAGTGGAGAGGCCCCGGCCCCATCTCGAGGGCGGGCAAGCGGCAGTTCTGGTTTAAGGTGAACTTGCTACAGCTCGTCAACGCGCAGGAGAGCCACCCAGAAAATGTGCCCATGAAAGAGTGGGTGGACAAGGCGAAGGACGCGTTCGGCAAGGATTGCGAGGAGCGGCCAAATATCGGATGCGGGTGCAAGTTTCTCCAATTTAAGGGTGCGCCGTCGATGGTGGTGGGGCCCGAGATGGGGAACGCATGGGGGGCGCTCGTAGCAGAAAGACTACCGCAGCAGCTAGATGACGCCATCAAGGAGTGCCACTACCAGTTCTTCGACGCTGCCCAGAAGAAAAGCCCGGGAGAGCTTTCCGAGCTGATCCCCGCGTCCTTCCCGATGACGAACAAGGTCAAAGGTTGCGACCCCGTCGCAAGGTACCCCGCGGACGCATTGGACGAGCAGGGAGGAGGGCCTTTCTTGTGCAGGGCCGGTGCGAGCCAGCGCTGAATATGTCAAAGAACGACGAAGGTGACCTCCGCAAAATCATGAAGGTCGCCATGAAGCATCTGGGCAACGAGGACAACCTCGACCCAGGGGAAGTGAAGAGGCCCGAGGAGCGCCAGAAGCTACGAGACAGCACGCAGGCCCTGCTGGATGGTACCGAGATCTTCGCGGCAAAGTTCGGCGGCTGGAGCAGACGACTACGGCCAGCTCCTCCAGCGGCCACCACTGAGTGCACCCGCTGGAGCCTGCTGAAATGCCAAGAGAAAGCATTCGCGAGGTTTTTCTCGGAGTGCTACTCTGGGCAAGCTGGACGTGCCCACAGGCAGCCATGCGATTCATTAGCGAGGTCTCTCGGAGTTCACTTCAGACCATACAGGATGGGCATTGCGGAGCGCTCGCACCGTAACCGCAATGGAAGTATTTTTTGGAGTGCCGACAGGTACATTATTGCAGGGTGTCGACGGGGAGAAATGCGATCATCATGATGTCCACCAGTGCGCTCCTCGATGGCCCTACCATACGCCGTGACTACCAGCACGTTCTACCCCGCATGCGCTTCGAGGGGGATCGGTGGGATACTACAACCGGGTATCAGAGTGCATATGCGACAATGCATGGGGCAATTCTCGGCCAGACCGAGAAGTGAGCCGAGCAGGAGAGGGGAACATCGAATTAAAACCGTAGAATACGCAGCCCCCCAGCAACAGTGTGGGATCACGGGCCTTCCGTCCCGCCCCCCTCTCCTCCTTTTGGGAGGTCGTGTCGTCGTCTCCACCCTGACTTGGGCGCTCTGCTAAGCCCGCGCGTCCCTTCCCCTAGGGCGCGCGCAAGGGCCAGCAGCCGCTCCCCCCGCATTGACCCGCATGGACTCGTGAACGTTAGGTAGCGTGCCCCTCTTACTGGGCCACCCCAGAGATCGGTCCTTGAGCTACGTGGCGTGCCCCCTGCCGGCCGTAGTGAGAAGGCAGGGCTGTTGCGCAACCAATCGCAGGGGATTTTTTGCATACGTGCGTAAGACAATTGAGTCGGTGTTTTGACGCTGCACCCCTTTATGCGGATGTCCTGTCCTGTCCACCCCCTCCTCCTCTACTCCTCCACGTCCTCCTCCTCCACGTCCTCCTCTTCCTCCTCCTCTTTTCCTCCTCCTCACCATGCCTCCTCTTCTACTCCTCCGCTTCCTCCCCATCCTCCTCCTCCTCCTCCTCCTCCTCCTTTTCCTCCTCCACTTTTTCTTCCTCCTCTTCCTCCTCCTCCTCCTCCTCCTCCTCCTCCTCCTCCTCAGTCCTTCTTCTACTCCACTTCCTCCCCCTCCACTTCCTTTTCCTCCTCCTTTTCCTCCTCCTCCACTTCCTCCTCGTCCTCCTTCTTCTCATCCTTCTCCTCAATTTCCTCCCTCTCCAGTTCCTCCTCCTCTATTTCCTCCTCCTCCTCCTGCTGCTCCTCCTCCTCCTTTTCCTCCTCCTCCTGTCGCCCCCCCCTGGGGAACTCCATCCAATGCCCGAGTGGAAGGGTCCGCGTGGCGCACCCGCCCATGTCGGCACATCCTTCTTTCCTTCGTGTTACAAGCAGTGGCATAAGCAGAAAAACTCGGAGGTCCGCGCGGTTTTCTCGGAACTGTTCTGGAATCTCCGGCGCCGCCCCTGGCGCGCTCCGCGCGCCAGAGAGGGGGGGCCACCGCCGATCCGAAAAATCCGCGCGGACCTCCGAGTGTCTATGTTTATGCCATTATTTGTTGTTTTATTGTTGGCACGCCTCCCCTTGCTTCCTCTATGTTGCCTCGCGGTATACCCGCAGCTTCATGTGGCCGGGCCCTTCGCCAGGATAATTATGTTACATGTTCAAGCGCAGTTGGTGATTTACCTTATTCCCCCCATGTTGTTGAGCACCTAAGCCCCGCAATTGTTGATACGAGTTATTTGGATCGCGGGATTGGAGATCGAACGCCAAGAAACCCACCGCGGGCGTCGACTGTTCTAAGCAATGAGCCCGCCGCAGGCGTCGACATTTTTGCAAATCAGGCTGGGTGTGTCGCGGGGCGGGTCGTCGTGTGGTTTCGAAGTTCGACCGCGAATTTACATAAGTTCACTGCAATACCCGACCATTGGGGGATGCACACGTGGCCCGCTGCATCCTCCTGCGTGACAACGTCACAGTGTCACGCAAAACGAATCCCAGCCTGCGGCTGGCGACCCACCCACATTATCAAGGTAACTGGGTCGCGGGACAGGTCGCGGGTGGGTCGCGGGACATGTCGCGGGTGGGTGGGTCGCGGGTGAATCGCGGGGCTAGGCGCGCGTGGACCACCCGCGGCAACGCGAGTCCGTTCGGCCCTCTCGCCCAGATGCGTAGGGGTGGGGGGCAGTCCTTGCAATTCGGGATGTAGGTAAGTACGCGCAATGGCAGCAGAATTGCGCCAGGGCGAGTCGATTCGTTGTTTCTCCATTTTGAGGTCAACTAGACTCCCTAGACAGAAAGCGCTGACGACTTGCCATTCTGGCTCGCTGATCTGTTCAATACGGATCGTTCCCAGGCTTCAGTTTGATTCGTACCATGCTTCGCGTTTGGCTTCGCGGAACACGTTGTGCTTTGCATCCTCTTTGTTTGTTGTTGCGGTGGCTATGGCGCGCATGGCCCTTTGTCACTGCAATTTGGTTCGGCTGCGCCATTTGGGTCACAGCGGCTCTGAAGTCTGCGAAGCATAAAGGGCTCTTCTCAGTCTTAGGCAACGGGATGTTCAGCTCGCTGTTGCTTGCGCCGTTTGCTCTCCTCGAATTGGACCAGCGGTCCGCAGCTGATGATCCTGTCCCTGAGTGTTCAGGACCAGTAGGTCACAAATACAGGTTGAAAGTTGCTTCATTGGCTTTTCTGAGGCAGAACGTCGGGCTGGTCCTCTTGGTGGCTACTCTCACAGGCTTGAACCGAGCGCTCACCAATGCTTCTTTGTATTTCATCGACGCTTGGTTGAAAACCGCGCTACTCGCCTTGACGGTCCCCCTCACCTTCGTTTTTGGTGCAGCAGTTCCGGCAGTTGACCTTCGTGCGCGGGGGTTGTTTTGTGGACCGTGCTGCGCCAGCGCAGGGCAGTTTTATCCCCACTGGCGATCTTGGTCCACATTGGCCATGATACCAGCTTTGCTTCTGATATCGATCGGTGGCATAGTCACGGCGTTACCTGACTTGTCCGAGGGCCGACCAGATGTGAAGAGAACGGTGGGAGCAGCAAAGCCTTTGCACTTCTACGTGATCGGGGTAGCCATCCAGATGCTATCCAACTGTGCAGGGGCGGCCCAGAACGTTTTCACTAAAGTGCTTCTGACGCGCAGCGGCAGAGGACGAGCGGCTTCTGTCTGCCCCGGCTCTGCGCGAGAGACGACTGCTGCTTCTACATCCGATGATCGCATGCTCACCCCCAGGGCGCCGGCGGGTGCCGCGATTCTCTTGGGACCTGGTTGTGAGGACGGCCCCGTGCCACCACCGCCCTGCAAGTCCCAGATCGCGCTCCTGACGCAGCCGATTCTGGCGGCGTTCGGCCTCCTCTCGGTGCTTCTGTTCGAGCACGGTGACTTCACTCCCCCTCCTCTGGGGGCCCTCTTGGCATTTGCCTTGGGCGTGACAGGGATTGTTGTGTGCGAGCTTCGGCTTATCGAGCTCACTTCGGCGCTGACGATCGCGGTTCTGGCGGCGGCGCACAACGTGGTCATGGTCATTTTTTTCCTGGCGGTCGACGGAGAGGGGGGCGACATCTCGGAAATGCAAGCGGCAGGCTGCCGAGGGACAGCAGTGCTTGTCAACAGGCAATTTCCGAGGTCTCTGGGGATCTCTTGGATCGGCGCCGCCCGCCATCCATGGCGCGCTTCGCGCTGCCGGGTAGGAAGTCCAGCGCCGACCCAAGAAGCCGCACGGACACTGGAAAGCTCACATCATTGTGTTCGTCCTCCAGGTTATTCATTGAATACGGTTGGAGTCTGTGCGTACGCTGCTGTGAAGCATTGGCAAAACAGCGAGGACGAGGCCCTCCTCGCTTCAGCATCGGGCGAGGCATTGTTGACAGATCCAAGTGGTTTTTGCGCGCCCGCTCCGCCTCTCTCGGAAGCCCATCCTGGGCGAACATCGGGTTCGTTGGCGATGTCTGCGGTCATGGCAGCAAGCCGAAAGTCGTGAGCCGATTGCTGATTATTTCAACGTTCGCGGCCACAGTTCGAAGGAGAGAAACACCATCAACATGAATGTGCAGCGCTCCGCGCGGATTTCTTGGATTCGCGCTGGGGCCCTTTGGCGGCGCCTCTGGCGCCGCCCCTGGCGCGCTCCGCGCTCCGCACGTCGGGGAGGGTGTATCAACGCAGATCCCAGAAACCCGCGCGGACCTGCGAAAGTTTATGTTTGTGCCGTTGTTTATCATTCTTCTGGACGATGATTGCGGCAATAGTTCTTCTGGCACAGGAGATGGACAAGGCGGGAACCGCATGCCCTCCGGTGGACATAGTCTTTCTGGCGGCCTCCGCGAGCCTGTCGCACACATTGAGCGGGGCACGTCTTTGACCTGCGCACGGATAGGAAGCAACCCTGGTGTCGGCATCGTGGATTTGCTTGTCTGGCACGCACCGTGATTTGAGACTCATGCTGCTGCTGGGGCGCGTCAAGGACAATTCGGGGATCACACAATGGCATAATAATGAAAACTAGGAGGGCCGCGCAGATTCCTCGGAACGGCGTTGGGGCCACCTCCCTGGCGCGCCGAGCGCGCCAGCCAGGGGCGGCGCCGGAGGCGCCGCCAAGGAGTCCAAGCGCCGATCCGAAGAATCCGCGAGGACCTTCGAGTTTTGATGTTTATGTCAGTGTCCGTTCCCGGAATCTCGAAGAAGCGTACGACTCGAGCGGCGGAACTCGGGTTCGCCAACTCTTTTTGACGAGGCCGCCCCCGATGTGACGGTCCGGTTTTCGTGGGATGCCTGCAGCGGGAGTTCGCGTCAAGTTTCAGAGTGGGGCTCGTAATTTTCTTAACGGACCCGTCAGGCCAGCCCGAGTCCCCCGAACACGAGTCTTACGTGTGCCGTTGCATTGGCCTGCGGTTTGCGGCTCATCCTGCGGCCCGCGGGCCGCTGGGGAGGTCTCCACGGAACTTCTCGGAGAGTCTTGGGGTCGCCTTGGGCCGAAGAGGTCCTGGGCAGCTGGCTGAGGCATCGACGAACAGAACACGGCACAAACATACCCTAGATCTTGCAACTGGAGGGAGGAGGTCACAGCCCTCCCAGACGAGCAATTCTTACCCCCCCAGACCAGCCATGAAAGGACGGCCTGCTGCCCAGACCCCACTGGACCCCTCGAAGTCAGCTCTTATCAGACCCCCCCGAAATCGGACCATCTCCCTTTTGTAGTTACATCAGGAGTAAGCTTTCGGAGCTCCGCGCGGACCTCTTGGATCTGCGCTGGTCCCCCTGTCGGCGCCTCTGGCGCCGCCCCTTGCGCCTTCCGCGCGCCAGGGAGGGGGTATCAACGCAGATCCAAGAAGCCCGCGCGGACCCCACAGCGTTTGTATGAGTGTGCAGCTTTTGTTTTTCGAAGACAGCGCATCAAAGAAGTCGCAATGCGGCACATACCACAGCGATGCGATGGAAAGCAGTGCAGTTCAGACAAATATGATACGGCGGCGGCATTAGATAAGGAACGTCTTCCTGAGGCCCAGACCTTGGCGCATTCCTCCTTGCTTCAAGGCGAGGTGGGTGGTCCACGTTTGGCCGCCCATCGGTCGCGAGACCCTGGGTTCCTTATCGAAACCATTCTCATCTAAAACCTCCACCGTACTATTTATGTGGTCCTAGTTGTGTGCTGTGTAGTGTTAAGTCGGGCCTGTCCCTCTATACAGGGGGAATATGCAAAAATAGTCAACAACATAGTCTGGGGACGAGGTTTCATGTTTTTTTTATAATTATTTTGGTGCTTGTTCGGGGTAATTTTTTCTTGGTCCAAAAACCCCCCGGAAGGGGGACGCGCCCGACTTAAACTTGGACACATCCTGGGAGCCATTCGGGGGCGTCTTGCGGAGAAGGACCATTCGAGATAACGGCGGCCCTCCCTTCGAACGCCACGGGCGAACCCGTTTCGAAAGGCTAGCCCGTATGGATCTCGGGAGGGTTGCAGTGGGGGCCCATGCCAAGAAGCACCTTGCTTGCCTCCAGGGTGCCCTGGGTATCTTGGGTTTCGATGGTTCTGTGATGGAAAACGTGGCGATCCCGCCAAAAATCGATGGACGTCCTGGGGTCTCAGGGTTGGGTTTCTCGTGGAAGGTTTCTTGTGGTTGGCCTCTACTGCACGCTCACGTACTTCCTGCTGATTTGAGGCGAGCGGGAGGGCCACAGTCGTCTCCATTTGGCCTTTCTCCGAGTCTTGGGGCGTTCCTGGGGCACCTCTAGGGGAACGAACAATGACATATACAGAATTACACCAGAGAAGAACCCCAATCAGTGGATGGTTTTCACGAACCCGGGAGCCCGGAAGCCCAGAGCCCACCGAAATCGGCCAGGAACCACTAATCGGGATCCTTGGAACCCGGAACCCGGAACCTGGGAACCCAGCTTGCTACCAAAATCGGCGGGAAATTTGCGCCAAATCTGTCAATTTCCGCTAGAACCCCTTCAGTGCAAGCACTGATTGGGGAAAAACTTGGAGGTCCGCGCGGATTTCTCGGCTCCGCGCTGGGGCCCCCTGGCGGCGCCTCCGGCGCCGCCCCTGGCGCGCTGCGCGCGCCAGGGTGGGGGTCCAGCGCGGATCCAAGAAATCCGCGCAGACCTCCGAGTTTTTTTGTTTATGTCATTGCTTGTTCCCCTAATCTCGGGGGTGTGCCGGCGGTCTCGGGGGCACCTCTTGGGGAGGGTAGGGCTCCAAGGCCTCGCGGGGCCTCTTCGGCGTCCCTGTGCTCGGCCCGTCTCGGGCGTTTCGTGGTTCCCTCTTGTCTTGTGGATGACGACCAACGGAGAGGAGGCATGTTTCCAAATAGTTTCCAAATGTATAGAACATGTGTTAAGACATGTTTCAAACATGTGTTTAAAGTGCTGACGCATGTGTTGAAACATGTTTCGAACATGTTTTCAGCATGTCGAGGACATCTAAACGACATTTCAAGCTCAATGATAGAACGGTTAGAGTGTCCACTGTCATGACATCCACAGCTCTTGCCAGTGGAGGAAAAGGTACCCATACCTCTACACGCTGGTCCTTGAAAGTAGGTTTGTTGGGAGATTCTGAAATCCAAATCTTTATCAAGCGCCTGCCTACTTCAAGAATCAGTATGCTTTTGCTGTGTTTTGCTATTCTCTGGGTGGGCCTGAACCCAATCTGATTGATCCGCCTTCCTACTTCGTGTGTTTACCCACTTTTTCCGACCGACGTGTACTCTTCCCTCGTTTTCGATTTCTCGGGCCTCTTGGGATGACCTTGTGGCCACCGCTAGATTCGCATCGAAACCTTGGTCAGGACACACCCCGGGAGAGGTCCGTGGAGTAGTGGTATCGGTACCTTTCGGTTTCCCCATCTTGGGGTCTCGGAAGCCGTCTTGGGGCGAGACTGTGGATCTCCTGGAGCGTCTTGGGCGCTTTTATGGCTGGCAACAACCTATATCGACTGATTAGGGAAACTTGGAAGTCCGGAGTCCGAATACACCCTACCAAGGTATTCGGAAACGCCATGCGACGGACTCTGGAAGCGTCCATGAAGTCGGCAAATCAGGGGCATCGAAGCCCTGAAAGATATTGACAATATCCCATCACATAGTGGGAACTTGACGGGATATGATGACGTTCCGTTCGGTGCCGACGGAACGGTGGGGGATTACCTGGACTACGTTACGCGATGCATTGTTGCAACATGCGAATTTGGCCATGCTGTGTCGTGCCACTCCATGCGTTACTTCGCTATTCTAAACGGCCCTATGCTCAGCTAGGCAATTGCCCTGGTTACTCCCTGCCTCTATTCATCTATGATTGTGCCAAAGGAGTGCTGGTGACATGCTATTAACTTCGATGCGAGGAACCCCCCGATTGATCCTGAGCACCCCCTCCCCCACGGTCCTGGCGCGACAGGCCGCAGTTGGCATCGGCCCTCTTGCACAGAAGGAATCAGGCATCAACATTAAGAAAGAGGTCCTCGAGTGAATGTTTCAGTCAGGACGCTGACATGAGGATCAATTCGGGCTCAGGATGCGCTTTGGCTTTAAGCCTGCTCCCCAGATGCCAGAAAAGCCCCTCGTGGTTAATTCAGCTTTCATTTTGGAAGCGCATTGAAGCTAGACTTCAGTCGGGCATGTCCCTCTACAGGAGGAGTATTCGAAATAGTTAAACAGTAGTCTGAGGACGATGTTTATATCTTTACTGCTATGTTGGAGCGCTGTTTGAGTATGTGTCACTTCTCCTCTAAAATCCGCCTGTAGGGGGACGTGCCCGACCTAAGTGTAGACCCCGTGCCCTTGCCCCAAGACCGACTCTTCGCCGCTCTGGGCCTCCTGGATGGGGTCGGAGTGGATGGGGTCAGAGGATCGCGCCGCATCGCCGATGCACCCCCCGTGCGGCTCGATGCGGAGCCCGATTTGCTTCACGTCGACGTCGCCGGTGCATCGCCGGTGCATCGCCGGTGCATCGCCGATGCATCGCCGAGGCATCGTCGATGTACCGGCGATGCGGCACACTCCTCCGACCCCATCTGCTCCGGGCCAAGAGCATAAAGCACGTGGTAGAGCCGGGCGGGCAGACCCTAGCGGACGGGTCGGGAAGGCGGGCCCAGGCGGCCAGGTTGAGAAGGCGGGTTATTGAAGCGTGCGTTCTGCATGAACCAGATGAAGTCTCGAGCGATAGCGCGGTTCCCACACATATGGCGAGAATAGCCAAAACAACAAGCGTGATTCCTGAGTGTCGAGGGCGCGGTGTTTGAATAGATTGCGAGGAAATCCCACGCGTGAGCGCGATTCCTGCATAAGTTGTGAGGAAGTATCAGGCGGGAGCTGTTGTTGTTGTGGCCGGGGCCAGGGGTTCACTTTGAGCACGAAGATTTTCCCGGATAGAAACAGGGTGCGAGCCCCAAGGGGGCAATTTAATTCAAATCACAATGTGCATTGGTGGGGCGATCAACAATATTTCTTCTCAAAATGGAGAGTTCAACAACAACTACCACCACACCCCCAATATACTTTCTAGGCGCCCTCCTGCTTCAAGAGTCGAGTGGTTTCCCCTCTTCCTTCCTCTTCAGGGGGCGGGCGGAAGCCCAATCTACAGTCGGACCGATGCATAGGGTCGAGGTCGGTTGGGGGAGGGTACTCCAGTGTTCTTCGTGCTTGTTGGATACTCTTGTGCACCCTTGGGAGGGCACCCTTGCATGTTCTGTTTGTTTTGGCCGGCGGAGGGTCTCATGCTCTTGAGGGATGTTATTCTGGCCTAGGTTTAAGTCGGACATGCCCTTCTACAGGGGGAATGTTCAACAAATAGTAAAAGATAGTCTGGGGACGACATTTGGGGATTTGTTTTCGACTGATTCTGAATATTTTTGAATATTGCGAAGGCCTCACGGCCGGTGCCGCCGACCCTGAAGACGAAGCTGTCTGTGACGCCGTGAAGGCCGAAAC